TAAAGTTATTTGACGATTACTCTTTGGGTTTTGTTTTATATAAATATAGATTTGTCCTAATCGGCTAATAATAATCACTTGAAATATGAAGAAAGGAATCACGTATTTTTAAAATGTTATTTGTACATTGTAGTAGCAGAACGCAAAACAAAGAAAACATTTAACTGCACCACATGGCCATTGTATCCATGTAGTACTGACAAGTGGTATTAAGGGTCAATGAATGAACAGCCGTTGTCAAAAGTGTTCCGAACATAACGTGGAATACAGCCAAAATAGAAATGATCGTATCAAAACCCTTTCTTACGTTGAAAATTTGCACGTTTTATAATGTACCTACAACGGATAGTTTATACTAACAATTGTTTACCATGCCAGAATGAATTCCAGCTACAAGACTATGACCCTTCTCGTTGATTGTTATACATAGTATATTCGCAGAAAGGCAGCATGTATTTAACAATATGTTAATACAATTTCTCCGCCATTTTTTGTTTCGTCTATTAAGGACTTATAAGTGACGCTAAAGGTCACAAGAATGAAAAATCATATCTGAAGCATTTAACCCTTTGTAACGACAGAAAATTTATACTTAAACTCATAAATATAACTATGCAGAAAGCTAAACAAAGCGAACATTATAAATACACCATATAGTCATTTATTTCATCAAGCAATCGTCAGTACAACTGTAAGTAATGTACAAAAAAACAAATCTTGATAATAACTGTATCAGACATGCACCAAATTATTTTTATACTGGTGATTGCAAACGTCAAATACTCCATGCCAAACTCCGACTCAAAGGTAGCTCATTAAACCAACATTTATTCCACAAAAACCTTTCTGACTCACCTTGTTGTGTTTGTGGCTTTCTGATAGAGGATAACTTTCATTTTGTATTTACTTGTGTTAATTATACTCGTAACAGACAGCAGTACTTATCTGATATAATCTTAGAATACAATATTCATGACAATGTAGATGTTCTTTTATGGTGTGATCCCACACTAAATGATAGGGAAAACGCAGAAATATTCATTTCCGTGCAGAATTTTATCGTCAACAGCAGCAGATTTTAATGGCTATTGCATATCTAAATTAGTTTTCCTTTACACCACTGAGGTAAATATTTCTATGTGATTCCTTAGGAATCTTTATAAATCAATTTTCTTTTTATTACTTACTATGTAACAGCTCGTTGTCAATGTCATTTACTAACAATCGAATAATGTATAACTACTATTTTTTCCATTATTTTAATGATGTGTTGTCCGTCTCATCAATGATGTGTGTACATGTCCATGTAAATTGCTGCAACTGTACTAGAGGAGAGGAATTAATATAAGCTTATAGCTTGTTTTCCTATCCTTATTGTATCTGTATGAAGTGTGCAAGTGATGAAATAAAATATTGTTGAAACTAAGTATTGTACAATTAATTTCATTGCATTTTCCGGTAGTCTATACTTAAATATTCATTAAGAAAATTCAACAGAAAAGTATTTCTCTCATGTCCGGTCTTGTAAGACTACAAGACTCGGGTATCATAATTGGGGTAAATCCCTCGGCAAAACCTCGGGTTTCACCCAAATTTATGATCCCCTCGTGAGAAATTCTCTACCACCTCCGGTACATATGAAAGAGTCTTATAGTCTATCAATCAGTGTTTTTGTGATACTGACAATTTGACCAGAGTTTATTCAGGATTGAGGTGGTTGTTCGCACTTGATATGTGCCCCTTCCTGCAAAAGTATTATCACGATAAAATCCTTTTCTTACCATGGCCATATATGAACAGCTGGTTTTACGTATTATATGCACTTTAGGAAAAATATTTGTTCTATAGTAGATGCATAACATGTCTTAAAACATCTATTAGCGTGTAAGTAGGAGGAATGTTGTGACCCTGTCAAGTAAACTGAAATGTTTACATAGGCAGCCAGTGTAACATATTTCAAATACAGATAAAGAGGATCTTGTAATAAAGATGGTCATCTGGCAGGACTACACGGAAACTCGATAAAGCATACTTTGACAGCCCGTATGGTCATTTTTAGTATATTGAGTAGTTCTCGACAGCATCCATAACGAATTCTTAGTGTTTTGGATAGTAAACACTGTTGTATTACCTGGGTTGTCGGAGTTGTGTGGGCAGGGGAAAAACACTTTCTCTGAATATTCCATGCGTACGTTCGGAAATCGAACCCCGGCCGCCTGCGTGGAAGGCCGGATTGTTTTTTCTTTTCTTTTAAATCTACTACTAGCAGAGGTATCTCAAATAGTTAGCGTAACTGAGTTAGTATCTGGCTAATTCAATACTTTCTCCGGTCATTCTCCTGTTTCGTTCTGCATACAACCATATCCCATTGCTGTGTTGCGTAATAACGTGTATGATTGTTTATTCAACTGATGAGTGTACCTTCGACGTGCGTGTGCATCCAGATGCGCCACCCAATGTTAGGGCGCAATATGTTAGTCTGTCCGAAGGATTGATTTAAATACTACTACAATTTAATAGAAGTTGGAAGAGAACATTGGCAGAATTATTGATGGGTTAAATATACCACGTACACGCCAGATCGAGGTTGATAATTGTGTAATAACCTATGTAATATTTTTAACACTTGCACTTTGCCATATTGTCATGTTAAAGTCGGCGACAACAGCCATGTACATAGTTACCCTAACAACAAGGTTAAACAGAACTAGACTTGGGTTACAGATGAATGTGAAAATTTGTGCATTCATTACAAAAGTGCTCTCGGTGTTTTAAACAACTGTAAATCAAATAATAATCAAGTAAGTCTTGTTGGTATAAAAAAAAAACACCACATGGAATTGCAATTAGTACGACGGGACAAACGTCACGAAGCAGATATGTTACATTTATCTTCAAATTTAGAACAAATTTTCAACTTATTTCCATAAACAGAAGTATGGAAAACATATCGAAAACTTTAACAAATGAACATTTTTATACACTTTAAAAATCTTTTTACATATGTTAATATTGATGTAAATCAAAATAGTAATGTTGGAATTGATAACGGATATGTATATATGATGAACTCGACAAGGTAATTTCTAGAGAAAAAATAATAAAAGATGTAGCGAAGATTTAATAATAAATGAACTTTTTGTCGAAGGCAAAGATATTCTGATTCCTTGTTTAGAACGTTAATTTAATTCTATTTTTAAATAAGGGTCTTCCCGGAATCTTGGTCAGAAGCTGGTATCGTTCCAATTAACAAAAAAGGTAACACAAATGATCCAAACAATTATCGAGGAATTTCTCTTGTCAGATGTTTTTGAAAACCCTTAACGAACATTTTGAACAACAGAATTTTATTTTGGGGAAAAGACTATAGTATTTTAACTGATGCCTAATTGAGATTCCGATCAGGTTGATCAACTGTTGATGCTATTTTTATTTTACAAACGCTTATAAATAAGACCCTACGAAACGAAAACAGGCTCTATTGTTGTTTTATAGATTTTCGTAAAGCTTTTGATTTTATTGACTATAGCAAACTGTGGAGCAAACTTATTAATATTGGAATCCGAGGTAAACTTCTACAAATATTAACTTCTTTATATCGTGATGTTAAGTTACCTGTTAAAAATGAAGTTTTTAGTGAGCATTTCTGTTTTAAGTCTGGTCTTTTACAGGGAGAACTTCTGTCTCCGAATTTCTTTTCTTTCTACGTTAATGATTTTAAGATTAACTTTATAAACAATTGCCCAAGCCTTGAACTGACGATATGGTTTTGATGTCCGAAACACCTGAAGGCTTGCAATCAATGCAGAATTGTTTAAATAATTATACAAAGGAATGGAATTTAGAGGTTTATCTTTACAAATCTGAAATAGTTATTTTCAGGAAAATGGCTGTATATGAAAAATTAAAAAGTGTGAGCAAAACTATAAACCATCGATTATCCTTTGAAAAAGTAAAGTTCAGTTCAAATACAATGTACCATGGCTGTTTTCTATATTTTTCATAATGGTGGGAAACAACACATAAAGTTGACGTCATCGAAACGACAGGTTCATTTTTGTACAATGTACCTGTTCTTTCAGATTCCCCGTACCACTTCCAAAACATTGACGAAGTGTTGGAAACTGTTTTTCTAGCATGATTAGGCCTACAGGTTTGATAAATCATTTCTGAAAAGAAACCAATACATTGCGGGACTTTTATGAGAATTAATGAAGACGATTGCTATAAATAAATAACAGTGTTCTGAGTGTAAAAGATAATCTGTGGGACTAGACCTGGACTTCAGATTTTGATACTTTTTCTCTAATCGATTGAGCTAAATGTACCTGGTCAACGAAATTATCCCGGCCCAACTGTGCTACAGTTAATCAAAATGGAAGTTAAGTGGAGGTTACTGTGTGTAGGAAAAACCACAGTGCAGTACTTGTGGTACAGCGATCCTTAAGTGTAAAACACGATGTACTAGTTCTACACATAAAGATCCCCTTACTCGGTGTATTTCATCTGCCCATACAGGTATTTACTGACTGTCACCCACAAACACACCCACGGTGACAAATAACACAGATAATTACTGTTATCTGGCTCAAACAGAAGTTCAGTATACATATAGTACGTAGCGAACGTAAACTTTAAAACGTTGTTTACCAATTGAAAATCTCGCCGAAATCCCTGTCCGTCAGACGCGACCCCGTGTGTAATGCCGACACTAGGCTACGTAAGTGACCCGGGGTGGTTATTACTTCTTTAAAGAGCTGGGAGACTGATCTGCTCTAATCAGGAGTCGGTGTCGTCTGCTCACACAGGTATTTTCAAAGGAGGCCACGATTGAATGGTCACGCATGAATGGGACAATGTACTACTATATTGTGTTGTGAAGTTACTGTGAAGTCGGTTTAGGACAGTCGTTCATCCGTCACACTATCCCCATCACACTTCGCTACCCGAAGGTGAGGATTCTGGGGTAGGACGTCCAGACGTACAGGTAGACATATATAGACACTGGAACACGACTGATAATTAAGCCTGGTAACGTCAGATCGATGTATAAGTGACCAGGAACCGGTTTGTCAATGGCAGTCAGGTGTGTATTTTACACGACGAGTCGTCCCAGTTTGTATAGGGGATTGTGAACAATTGAAGTCTACACACATCTGTACTCGCCCACATACATATGTAATCGACGATTCATTGGAGTGGAACAGTCACCGTATAATGTGTGGGATATAGGCGTGTTGACCAGGTACGTGCTCTAGTGAACTGGTAATAGTGAGATCACAGGAGCACGTGCAGAAAAATGGTTGCCTGTGAAATCTGTTTACATAACACTTACCATATATCGAGAGTCTAGCAATATGTTAAGACATTATGTGGCTCTAGTCTGACAGTACCGCGTCCTCGTTACCAAGGTCAGGTAAAAATGGCGGCAGATCCTGTTCAGCTGTCTCGGCCCCCACCGGGACCTCGACTTCTGAACCCGGAGGATATCGGGGCCCCACGGCCCGTCAAGCATTTCCTCTGGGAGGATTCACCCCGCCTGCTCAAGGACATGATGAGCACCTCAAGGCTGCCATTCACGGCTAAAGTACACACTGGGGATATAGGAAGTTACGTCCCGGCGTGGACCAGTCCCGAGGGGGCGGGGGAAGACGAGGAGGAAGTGCTGCACGTGATTGAGACGAGAAGGAAGAAGGCGGTGGTGGCGAGGAAAATGCAATGGGACAGACAGACAGGGGACTACGCCGCGTGTGGAAACGGGGTAGAGATACCAGCTACGTATAAAGGTAAATAATATAGGTACATACTCATGCGAGTTTGAATATGAAGGATTACTAATGTTGAACAATGAAAAGAAACTCGGAAAAGAGATATGGACAGCCTTTGATATATAATGTGAATAAGAGGGATATATCCTCTACCTTTTATAAATAATTTATAAAACACGGGTATACCTATATAGATGTTAGTGACCCTCAGTCACTCACCGGTACGGTATAGAGACGGGCTATATCCTATGTCATCCATGGAGAATTTGGAGGACGTGGATTATCCTTGCTACCGTAGGGATACACACTTCATTATTTGCGAGCTGGAGGGCTGGGGGACACTCATTTTAATTAGGGTCTAACAGGTTAAAGACCCCCATGGGGAAGTCATACCCGGAATACCCTCTAAAATGTTGATAGAAGGAAAGCGTGTCGGTATCTGAAGCATTCTCGCTCTATGACGAAGGGGAGGAATCTCGTTTGTGGTTTTGTAACGTGTATTGAGGTACAAAATACTTGTAGTATAACTCACTATATGATGATTGAGAGGCTAACTTAATACACACCTATTTGGATATAGGCGAGCTGAACACATCAGGTAGTATTGAACACGGTAGGTTTTAATATGCAAATTCCCTGCATGTTAGAACAGTAATACCAACCCTGAACTACCTGTATTGATTGATTATACACCATCCTTGGCGTATGACAACATTTAACATAGCCCGGGTATACATTCTATACACACTTCAGTATAAATGTAGAGTGACGAAGCGGTCCTAAATCTGTGTAGTATATTGATCGTGATCGGTCGTAATACATAACTCACCTGTCGTCTTGTACCTATACATAAAATATGAATAATATTACTAATATTCAACCAGCATCATTATCTAAAGACAGGGTCGGTATTAATAGGAGGTCATGCATAGTAGAAACCTCTGTCCGCATCAGTTATTCATAACATCCATTAACTCAGTCAACCCCTGAAATTTCATGATGAACTATCCCAACCTTTGAATTAGAGTATAGTCCAAATGTGTCTTCAGGGTGAATGAGTTAAAGAGATTGAAATTCCTGAACACTAATGAGTAGACAGGGAACATCCTCTGATTTGATTATAAGAGGATGTATACTAAGATGGAGCGCGTCCTCGAAAGTCAGAGGGGAAATGTGTCTCGGCTAAGAGGATCCTGAATATCTCCTCTATAGCTTGGAAGGATGCGTTGAAAAACTAAGTAACTCGTATTGACGATATAGTATTGTTAGATATGAAGTCTATCTGTAAGCAACATGGTTTCATATTACCTGTTTGCCCATTGTTTGGATGCCAGACAATGGAGTTTAGACAGGTACTATATAGGGCTATGGTGCATGTGTAGATCAGTATAAAACCTATGTACAAAATGTAAAAATGTATCTAACAAAACTTATAACACTGGAGAGCAAAGAGCGGAGATTCCAATCCACGATTCTGGTGTGTAAGCCTGGACTTAAAGTTATCACACCATGTTCTATTCAGTCGATAAGTGTATTTGTCAATATCGAATAAATAAACGATTCCAAACAGAGCTGTACTGTATAGTGCAGTGTGTCTGCAGAGCTGTAGACTTATAAAAAGTATATTAACTATATAGAAACTTTAACCAGATCATAAATAGCTTTATACAATTGAATAAATCAAAAATATTCAAGGTTCTGCCGAACTGAAAACGATTGTATTATATGTACATTTACAAATGTAACTGAACCTGGTTCTGTAGAACCGTTTACTGTTGAAGATGTAACTATATACAATATACATAAAGCCGAAAACAGGCTGCTTCTCCTAGGAAAAAAGTGTTTTTCCACAGAAGAAAATGAAGGAAAAATTGAGTGTAATCCTCCCAATTTCAATAAAACTAATGCTATTTTTCCCAATTCGTACAGGAAGAGGCTGCTGTAAAATTTAGGTAGAAAATCTCTGACATTCACTTTGTATATCGGTAAAACCCTTACATAATATAACAGTTTTAACTAAACACAAGTTGTCCGATAGTCATGTTTGAGTTATATTCACTATATAGATATGGTTCTTAAAATCGAATGTCTTGTAAGGTCAATACAGCTGTATTTTAAAATCTATACAATACTTGTATCACAATAACTAACACGAATTGAGATTTAGTAGTTTGGACCCCGAGCTGTGTACAGTACCAGTTGACGAGAAATCCCAACTTTAGCACTACTACTCCTTGTAACACGACAGTAAGAAGCTTACAATAACGAACCGTCCGCCTGTAGCAGATTTCACCGCCATGACGTGTATTCCAATATAACTGGGATATTAACGAATGAATCTTAACATTCCTCAGTATTGTTACAAGATCAACAAGTTCTTTACCGGATTAACCTGGCTATAATGTATAGGTTGTGGTACCGGCCTTTGTATTGCGTCTCCGCTACATAGATGGTCATCTCGACTTGCCCTTTTTGGCTCAATACATAGACGGTCATTTCAACTTGCTCTTTTTTGACTGAGTAAGTTGATGTTCATCTCGACTTGCTCTTTTTTTTTAGCTCAGTACATAGACGGTCATCTCGACTTGCTTTGTTTTGACTCAGTAAGTTGATGGCCGTTTTGATTTGCTCGTTTTTGGCTCAGTACATAGACGGTCATCTGGACTTGCTTTTTTTTGACTCAGTAAGTTGATGGTCGTTTTGACTTGCTCGTTTTTGGCTTAGTACATATACGGTCATCTCGACTTGCTCTTTTTTGACTCGCTACAAAGACGGTCATCTAGACTTGTTGTTTTTTTGGTTCGGTACAAAGAGGGTCACTCGACTTGTTGTTTTTTTGGTTCGGTACAAAGAGGGTCATCTCGACTTGCTCTTTTTTTGGCGCAGTACATAGACGGTCATCTCGACTTGCTTTTTTTGACTCAGTAAGTTGATGGTCGTTTTGATTTGCTCGTTTTTGGCTCGGTACATAAACGGTCATCTCGACTTGCTTTTTTTTGACTCGCCACAAAGACGGTCATTTAGACTTGTTGTTTTTTTGGTTCCGTACAAAGAGGGTCATCTCGACTTGCTCTTTTTTTTTGGCGCAGTACATAGATGTAATCTCGACTCGCTCTTTTTAGCTCAGTACATATATGTGGTAATCTTGACTTGCTCTTTATTTGCTCAGTATGCATAGATAGTCATCTCGGCTTGCTCTTCTTTTTTGCTCAGTACATAGATGGTCAGCTGGATTCGCTCTTTTTAGCTCAGTACATAGATGGTAATCTCGACTTCTTCTGTTTTTGGCTTAGTTCTAACGTTACTTTAAGACGTTTACGAACTCGTGTAGACTTTATACATGTATTATTTATTACATGGGACAATCGCTATCTCAAAAGAGATAAATCCGAAGTAACTGTCTCCTCTTTAAGTTTGTTCTGTATTATCAAACATATTCAAAAGAGGAACTGGATCGTCAATTATTTCGGGCTACAAAAGAAACCTCTAAAAAATGGACCAATGTGTCTTCTGATTTCGTGACATCGGAGAAATATCAATTCATTTGTTGCCACCATTTCATTTTCTCCCTAGGTATGTTGTTAGTATAACATGCCCGTGTTTTAGTGGTATATTGTATACTTAAACGTGTGTAGGTTATGACATTTCAGTGAGATCGCACTTTATGGACAGATTGGTCGAGTGGTTAACACTCCGGGGTTCGATCCCTGAAGTCGTCGTACGCATGGATATTCAGAGAAATGGGGTTCGTCTGGGGTGGATGTTGCGGTATCTGTGCTGTAGCTTTCAAGTGAGGTGGCACTATAAATGATGCCGTTGGAAGCACGGTCCAACTACAAACAGAACACATTACATCTCCAGCACACACGCAGGCATACACACATAGGGAGATATTAGCCAGGTGACATAGGACTAGTAGTTAGCGCCTGATAAGGCAGCTCATGCATGTATATGCTAATTGTATTAATTGTATATATAGGTACTGTAAAGCGCGTTAGAGTGACCTATGTTAGCTAGATAGGGCGCTATATCGAATGTTGTATATCATTATAATGACGCGTGTCATTGTTGAGTGACCAACTCATTGGTGGACACCATATTCAATGTTCGTCAGAATAATTTAATAACAAAACATTAAACATATAAACCCTAGTGGTTGCAAACAAACTATACTACACTATAACTGCATCTATTGTCCTACGTGGACAGCGAGACTTTGTAACATTTGTATTCTAACATCACATTGCTATGTTTATCAATACATGTATCATTTCAAAATCGTTATTTAACCGTTTATTGATTAGCGGTACGGTCTGTAGTCAATAACAGCAGTGTTGCGGAGTATATTTTTTGCATATTTACCGCGTACGGTCTGGTGCCCAGTAGACAGCTGATATTCACGACTGGCTTTTAATACTATGTGCATCATAAATTAATGAAACAGGTTTTTTAAAGACTTATTGGCTCAAAGAAAATCACGACTTTATAACAGCAATAAACTTCTTATAAACCGGTTCCCGTCATACAATCTGGGCAGTATAGGCTGTGCAACTACTGTCGGTATTGACATGTTTGTGGGATGGACATTCATTTCCAGATATTTTGTTTTTATAAATGCAACACTTTATGTTGCAGTATTTTGAATAACATTATGTTAGGAATGTCGCCTGATGAGTTTCACGTTTTACTGTAATAGCTTCGTTTGAAGGGACAATAAAGACACATTTGACTACACAATAAATAAAAACACATAAAATATATTTACACAAGTGTTTGTGTGTAAAGTACCCATAACTATGTATCATTAAATAACCTATCCTCGACAAATACAAGTTTGGTTGGTTTATTAGCATTCACCTTTATCGCTTCCGTATAACACTGGGTTCATCAGTAGGTACAATAGCTAGGCATCGTTAATCTAGTTTTACTCATGATTGGTTTCCATCAAATTTCAGTAATATTTCACTATATTGATATATATGAAGTGTAATTGGTATGTTTTTTAAGAAGTATCAACT